AATATGAATTTGTTGATTTCTAATCTCAGATCGATCATTTGTAACTGTGAATTTAGATTCCAAAAATTTCCTCATTGGGAAAAATCAACCTCATAATATTCTTTGAGCCACAAAATTGCTAGGGTTTGTGGATGGATCTTCATCTTGTGCAACGATTCGAACTCAAGATTCAACTGGAAAGGACATGATTAATCCGGAGGCAATCCATCGATGCTCATCTTCATTAGCAAAAATGTGTTAGAGAATTAAATAAAAAAGTTTATACAAATAATTATGAAAAATTCTTCAAAGTGTTAGATTGTCTGTCTTTTTACATCAACTATTATTTTAAATACAAATTAAAATTAAATTTTAATGATGCAAATCTTTCGACTTTCTCCTTGCTCTTTCCTTTTATCACTACTAGAAAAGTGACTTGTTGCGACTAATTTTTTGCGACTGACTATTTAACGGTCACAAAAAATAATATTTACAACATCTGAGTCTTTCTTTTATTTATTTTGCCCCTTTCTTATTATACCTATGCCCTAACCCCCTTTTCACTTTCACTTTCCCAACGATTCACAAACACATCTCTCTCTCTCTCTCTCTCTCTCTCTCTCTCTCTCTCTCTCTCTCTAAGATTGTGATGAGAAGCAGCAGACAACAATGCCGGAGCTACTAAGGTTTGATGATCAGAACCAGTAGAGATCATTCGATTTCGTCATCTTCACCGTCGCATCCAACTTCAGCCTCTTGTTTTCCGCTTCTAGTAGCATCGATCATTGCTCCTTCGCTTCTGATGTTCACAATCACGACTCTTTCGTCTCCCAACTCACTCAGGTTCCTTTTTTTTCATTTCAATTTCATCTATTGGTGACTGCAGTGTTTGTGTAATATGACAAAGTGATTTTCAAATAATTCATTAAATGAAAGGATCACCATCTTGTAAGTGAAGTATCAATTGCACGAAAATGTTTGAGTACCTGGAGACCTATTGAATGGAAACGGTCAGATGTTTTAATCTGATGAATAAAGAGAAAGAAATACTCAATCTTGAGTTCCAAGTTAAATTGCAAATCCTAATTATGAAGACGGAATTGAAAAATAAACGTAGTTGCAAGATTGCAACACTGATGCTGGATTCAAGATGCATGAGACCTTAAAAATAAATAAATAATAATAATAACAAAATAAAGAAAGACATGAATTTAAATGATGAACTGGATTTATAGATTAAGGAATTGCTATGGCATTACTAACTATATTTTACTGCTCACTGAGTTAATTACTGTTCTGTGTTCAGTTAGCTTTTCCTTTGTCTATAATTGTGCTCCTTCCCCAGCTAATGCTGATCTTTTATTCCAGAGTCAAAAAGATATAAGGCTGTTATCATCCGAATTGATAGTTCTGGAGGTGATGCTCTTGCTACTGATTTGTAAGTAGTGCTGTGTTCTATCATTATGGTAGAAATTTAACAAGTAAAAACACGATATGTACATGTGTTGATGGCATGTATAAGGCTGTTACCATCCAAACCTATTGGAATTTGTTTTACATGTGAATGATTGAGGATCTCAGTATATTCATCTAATTATCATTTTAGATGTCAGTGTTCTTTCTCTATATTTAGTTTTGGATGTCATGTTTATAATTCCATTTACAGATTTATTTATATTCCTCATGCAGAGAATGAAAATTATAGGAAAAACTCCCAAATGCAACAGGTGTAATATCTCAAATAGATAACAAACCAATAGTACAAAATAATACAAGCAAGCGCAGATATTTTAGGAGCAACAAATTAACAAAATAAATTTGTATTGATGTTTATTTATTATATTTTTTAAAATAAATTTTTATAGACATTTTATTGATGTTTTATTTTAAAATTTTGTTTATATTTTATATAATTTCATTATTTAAATTTTAATAGATGTTTTATTTGATTTCATTATTTTTTAAAATAATTTTTTAAAAAATTTTAATTAAAAATAAAATATATTTTTATTGATATTTTATTTATTTATTTTGTTTAATTTTTAAAAAATAAATTTATTTAATTGTGTAAAAAATAAAATAAAATAAAATTATATTTAATATAGCTAAAAATAATTAAAATATTAAAGATGTGTTTAATATTGTTATTACTTAGTAAACAATTAAAAAAGGGTAAAACAGCTTTTTGCTCATTTATCCTATCCAGTCCGTCCAACCAGCATTGGATTCACTAAAATAGTCATTTTCAAGCATCTAATCCCATCAGAAAACAAACACATGATACATATCAAATTCAACCAAATAGTCCGGGAGATTCACAATCCCAAGATTCAAGTCCGATGGATTCTAATCCCCCTTATCCAGTCCGTTCAATCAAACACACCCTAAGAGTTTTAGGTACTAAATTTTTATTTTTAAAAATAAAAACTTTGTTACAAAAAATATTTGGAGACCAATTTTGATTATCGAGGGGATAGTCGTTAAAAGGTCATTCGAAGTATAAAAAATAAAAAATAAAAAAAAATATAGCTTTTAGCAACAATTTTCAAAATGTCACTAATAAATGCATATTTAGGGACAAAATAATTTGGTTCCTAAAAGATTTGTTTTTGAGACAAAAATTTTTGTCCTAAAATGATAATAATTCTTTGCTAAATATCCATTTTTTTGCTAAAATTAGAATAATACACTTTTGGCAACAAAAATATTTGGTCTATAAAAAGTGATTTTGTCCCTAAATTTATCCCTAAAACCTTAATTAGTTGTTATTTCTCCATTATTTTTGTTGTGTTTAAATATGTTTTTTTAGATAATTTTTCTAGATATATAATAGGGCAAATTATGATGGTAGTCTCTACTTTATCCGGCATGTCATTTTAGCCCATGTACTTTTCATTGGCTTAATTTTGATCCTGAATTTGTAATTTTATCTCAATTTAATCCAATTAATTATAACTCTTAATATTTTTTTTTATAAAAAATATGCACAAAAGTGTCACGTGTCATATTTTTAAAGATAAAATTATAAACTTATTTAATTCAATTAGTTAACCTTAACCAATTTAGTGATAATTTTTCTTAAGAAACACTAATGATGTTATTAATTAGATCGAATTAAAACAAAATTTAAAAATAATGATCAAAATTAGGCCAATTAAAAATGTACAAATCAAAATCACAGAAGAAATAAAATATAAAGACGGTCATATATAATATTACTAATAAATTAGTGAATTATTTTTTTTTTTGGTGGCCCTCAGAACAAAATTTGTCTATATAACCCAACAACACCGCCATTAGCAAATTCTTCGACGACAAACAACACACACTTGGCAGAGTAGTTGGGATTTTGTTTCAGAGTATCAAATATTAGCCATTAATTAATTTAAGATGGCCATTTCCAAGGAATTCTGTTGCTCATAGTCCTATTATTAGTAGCAATGGCTGCAGCAGCTACAGTAGTTGGAGTCGGAGGAGGAGCAGAAGAACAAGATCCTGAGTGCTTACCAACAAGTTGCAGAAAACATCACGGCCCTGAAATCCGATTCCCTTTCCGCCTCAAAAGGCATCACCCCAACCACTGTGGTTATCCTGGCTTTGATCTTTCTTGCACTCCTCATAGCAAATACCCTGTCCTTGAGCTTCCATATTTTGTCAATGTTTTTGTTAACAATATTGACTACACATCTCACACCATAAATATATCTGACTCTGAACCCCATGTATGCTTCCCACGACAGCTTCCAAACCTCAACCCATCTGCCTCTCCCTTCCAATTCCTAACCTCCTTATACGAAGACTTTAGCTTCATCAATTGTTCCCAGACACAGGATGAATATTCGATGAATCAGATTGCTTGCCTTAGTGACCAGAGTCACCAAGTTTATGCCATTCGAAGTTCTTACAGTTCGCTGCTCGTTTCTTGCACAAAGATGTATAACATGTCACTTCCACAAGAAATTTTTGATTATGGTTATGGCACCATCAGATTTGATGATCTTCAATTGAATTGGGGTAAACCGGAATGTGGGAAATGTGAAGCACAAGGCAAGAATTGTGGATTCAAGAAAAACAACAACAACAGCAGTAGCAGCAAAAGCCAATTATTATTAAATGGATCAACTGAATGCTTTGACAAGCCCAGACAGCCATCTACGGGTACACCTCTACTCTAGCTAGTTTCTACCTTCTTACTTCAAGTTACGATTATTACATTTTGTTTACCATCTTATCTCATCTGTAATTATTGCGTTGGCTTTACACTGATGATGTTGTCTTCCACCACAATTTTGAATTGAAATTCGGGCCGAGGTTCTCTCCAGTTTGGATAATTGAACTGGAAATCGAGTTTCGGATCTGCGCAACATCAGTATTTTCACAACCCCACGTTATTTCAATAGGCCCTTATCATCATAGAAAGCACGAGCATCTCAAGGAAATGGAAAAGCATAAGAGGCAGGTTTTCAAGCATTTCCTCCAGAGGACCCAATTGAAACTTGAAAGCCTTGTGGAGTTAATGTCTTTGCTCGAAGACGACACATGAAGCTGCTACAACAAGTCCGTTGAAGATTTCTGTAGCCAACAATTTGTGGAAATGATGTTGCTCGATAGTTGTTTCATACTCGAGTTGCTCTATTCCTATGCGACTGGGTGGGAGAATTCGACCTACCAGTCACAGTGGTGGAATCCGATTATCTACCGTGGTTTCTTGCCGTTTATACAACGCGACTTGTTAATGCTTGAGAATCAATTGCCACTTTATCTGCTTGTGGTCTTGGTTGCCCACGCTTGGCACGAAGCCCATCCTACTACTAGTACTAGTGTTAGTACTAACAATATTACCATACCACCAGCTGATGAGTGGATTCCTGACCTTGAGAGAACGACAGCGTTTGAGCGGGTTACTAACCTTGCTCTGAAGTTTTTCCAGCCGGTCATTCCTGGGGTTTACGAAACACCACCCGAGTATATGCTAAATAAACTACCGCTTCACCTCCTAGACATCGTTCGCCAGATCTTAGCACTACTAGAAAAGTGACTTTTTGCGTCTAATTTTTTGCGACTGACTATTTAACGGTCGCAAAAAATCAATATTTACAACCACAAAAAAATAAATGAATTGAAATATATTTATTTCAAAACAACATGATTTTCCTTCCCCAATTTATTATTCCTATTTCTTTTATTTATTTTATATGCCAATGCCCTAGCCCCTTTCACTCTCACGACATTCACAAACTCTCTCTCCCTTGCTCTCTTGCTCACCATAGTCGCAGCTTCCGTGGTTTGAATCTCTGTCTCTCGGTCTCTCACTTTCTTCATCATGCTCTGTTTCTCTGATCTTCAATTTCATTTTCCGACTCGAAATTCTATTTTCCAAGTTGAATTTTCTCGAAGAAAGTTGCAGCCTCTGCAAGATTTGATCGACGATGAAGCAGAAAATTGTTGAATGAAATTAGGTTAATTGTTTGATCGAGCAAAGAGGAAAAAAAAAAACAGAGATGAGAAGCGTGAACAACAACGCTCTAGATACGATAAGCGCTGCTGCGACTGCGATTGCTTCAGCTAGGACACAAGCTTCGGTTCAGGTAAACAATTTGATTCGAATTTTGACTATAATTTACGTTGCTTCTTGTGGTTGATGATTTGATTATCTCAATTAGATACATGAATCTCTCGAGTTTCGATTTCTAATTCTAAGCTCTGTATAATCTGAACATTTAGGTTCAAGATCTGTTGATTATCTATGTTACGTTGATCATTTCAGTTTGTTTGATGTAGTTTTTGGAAATTATATTTGTTTAATGCTTTTTAATTGTTTTTTTTTTTTTTTTTTTTTGAATAGAATGGACAAAATCCAGGTGCGACAACAATCCAGTTTCATTAATAACATGCAGAGGTTATATACATTAACGTCCATAGATAAATGGAAATTCTCTCATTCATATATACTAAGGGTGCTTGTGGCGGAAATGCTAGAGACCCCCAGCATTTTGGCACCCCCAGCACCCCCAGTGCCACATGGGAGGCTGCCAATGGCCAAAAACAAAGAAAAAAAAAAAAGAAAGTTTTTTCAACCAATCACAAAGGACCCCCAGCACCCCCACTGGGGGTCTCAAGCTTTATTCTTCTTTTAATAACCATCAAATAATATATGCCTCTACTAGTAAGCTTTAACATAAGTAGTCACAAAAGAAATGTTCATGTATTTCTTGTCGTGTTATATCATGTTTGTGTTCAGTAATTCATGAACCACTTCTTCCCAATTGATGGCTGTTCAACACAACAAATGTGTAACATCACTTGAATAGTTTATCTTGCTCTTTACGGTATTGGTACATGGCACTTTATTAACTACCAGTTTAGTGTATTTGCTACAACCTCAAAATAAAATGTTGTGCATATTGCTTATAAGTAGATTGTGTTTGTCCTATTTTTCGCTTTCGTCTTGGATTTTTTTTATATTTTTTATTCTTGGGGAATTACTGTCTGCTTGATTTAGGATAATGTCATCTGTTTTTATAGTGTCATTTTTAACAAGAATAGCTTTGTTTTGTGTAGATTCGTATGTTGGATTTAGTGCTTAAGGCATCACCTGAAGATTCTAATGAGCCTCAAACCGCTCGCATCCTTCTTTACAAGTTATTCTATGATCAAACTGATCAAGGAATGACTCAGTTCCTTTTAAACCAAATCAAATCATTTGATACTCATAAACAAGCCAAAAGGTTTTGTTCTTGCACTTTAGCACCTTAAAATGTTTATTCTCAATTTGTGATTATGAATTTTGTGTCAAGTAAGTTACTTGCACCTATGGAACTTCATATAATAGAACTTGTGGCTTTGCTTTGGATGTAATTTATATTGTTGTTATCTCTTTTGAAGTTGATAATGTTAATGTTGGATTAATGTCGTCAAACTTACTTGACATAAAGTGTAGGAGAAGTGTTAATGTCGCCAAACTTCCACGAGGCAGTTGAAAAACTTCCGTTCTTAATTCTTGCCTAATATGCAGTCAAACTTAATTGAGAATGAAAATGAATTAAGATAAGACAAATAAGCATTCTTGTCCATTGATCTACTCAATAAATATCATATTTTATTATGACCTCTTTTCTTTTCATTTTTTAATTTTTTTTATTTTCTATGAAAGATACATTGGTCTCAATGATGGGTGAAGCATAACTTTAGTTGTACCTAAGAAATTTAAAAAATAAAAAATAAAGAGGGTGAAATCATGTGCTGACAATTAATATTTAAATATATATATATATATATTTCCTGAAAATTTGCGTGGCAAAATTGAAAGATTGTGGTACATAACAATTTATATCCAATTTAAGTACGTGTGTGTGTGTGCTCGCATGTAGAGTATGTATTGCTTGGGTTGTTTTTATGCCTTGTTTGTTTGCTGAGAAAATCTATTTTTTGCTTTATTTGCACTTTTGGTCTCTATGTATCGCTCTTAATTCCTGCTTTAAGTGATGAATAATATTGATTCTATATATTTGTAATGCATTTGTTGTTATTTTCTTAGCCAACCAGACAATTGAATGAACAGTTCAAAAAAAAAAAGAAGACAATTGAATGAACGTTTTGATGGAATGAACGTTTCATTTCAACATCATTTCAGGAATTCGAAACGTTTATATTGTATAAACTGTAAGCTACATTTGTTTGTTTGAGTGTGGAGTTGTTAATAAACATGCCCTGCTTTGATATGATACTCTGTTCATTCATCTGTCTTGGTAGGTAATACTAGACTTATTGATATCCTACCTACATATTAAGTTTCCTTTTTTTTCTTCTGAATATTTCAAATGTTATTTGACTATTGTCTTGTGTGTTTTTCACATTGTCATTTGGGTCTTTTCGCTTATAATCATGTAATCAGTGAAGTGTATTTTTTTTTTTTTACAATAAGCATTGTCAGCCATTATTGTTTATGTCATTTTGCCAACTGTGCACTTGCTATCAATTTAATGGGTTTTGTTGTATATTATGCATTTTTTTTTAATTACAGTGCATTTAGTTTTTAATTTTGCTTTATACATTAGTTTTGAGTATAATTTCTGCATGCTTCTTCCAGGTGTTGAAGTAAAAGCTGGGCAGCCTCTTAAGGTCAATCCTGAAGTAGGCAGCGTCATACACATTTCCCAGGTTATAATCAATGCATCTACTATCATTGAAATTGATTAACTTTCTTCCATTTTTTTTTTTGTTCTATAAATTTATAGGATCAATAAAATGTCTACCATTTTTATTTTTGTCTATTTATTTTTGGTTTGAGAAATGTTGGGATGTTGCTATTTTTTCAGGCAGCACTGGGTGAAGGAAAGAAGGGAAAAGGAAATGACATTGTCCCTCTTCAGGTGAATATTAATGGCAAGAAATTAGTTCTAGGATCACTTTCTGCAGGGAAGTTCCCTCAAGTTTCATTTGATTTGGTGTTTGAGAAAGAATTTGAGCTGTCACATGACTGGAAAGATGGGCGTGTCTACTTTTGTGGATATTCGGCAGATAATCAGTTTGAATATCCTTTACATTTTTTCCTAGTTTCCTGTGCTGTTGATTTCTCTTTTGCTGTTATCAATGTCTTTATATCAATCTTTAGTGAGATATGCCGACATGAGCTTCAAGATGAGTCTTAATTTGAATTTGTGATTTGTTTTCTTTAGAGTCTCACACATTACTGTACACTTTCATGTTGGTCCTTGAATTTGAAGTATGAAGTGTCCTAGGGCTTTGCTTGCTGCATTAACGATATACTGGAAATTCGTTTTACAAACCAATTCATGTTAAACTTCTTGTCTTCCCTTTCCATTATTTTCCACTGGCTTGCAAGTTAAATTTAAACGCAAATGTTTGCTTTTCCATCTGGCTGTTCCTTATTTTATCATTAATATGTAGTATGTAAATCTTATTGATAGATTGTGTTATTTCAATATCGATTCTTTATTTTTGAATTTTTGTTCTGATTTTGACCTGGAGGAGATTGAAAACTGTTTAGATTTCAATTTTATTTTTTGTTTCCTTGACGGTTGTTTTTTCTTTTCACCGAAGATGTAGAAGACGAGTTTGGTGAGTCTTAATACATGTTGCTTAGATGATGGTCCTGCTTAAGTGTTTTTTCTCTTCACCAATAATATGTGTTTGGTTCCTATATGTGTTTGCCGATGTTGGTCATTTCTCTGTTAGTTCAATACAAATAAGTATGTGCGCTGTGACTTATCCAGCACTCATACTAGCTTACACCGGACAAGCCTCTTTCCTTAGGAAGCACAATTAGTACGACTACTGCCAAGATCGGACATGCATACGGTAACTAATAGACATATTAACTAATATTTCTGTTCTATCATCCCTTTTTTCAATTGGGATGATTTTTATTTATTTATTTATTTTTATACATACGGTCACTGCGGTTGTTTGTTCGGTTTCTACTGTTGTAGTTTTTGCTCTAACTTTGTTTTATTTGCCCATTGATCCACTAGTAAAGAAGATTACGAGTAGCAAGATGAAAAGAAACCAATAGGTGGTTTAACAAAGCCAATGGCGCCCAACTGCAATGAACAGAGTTCAAGATACCAAGGTTGCGCTGCTTACAAGGAAGGAACATTGTATGGCAACCATTGCTGAAGGTTCTGCAAATTTTGATAGCAATTTGGTTGAATGGATCATCAATCTTGTAAGTACCTCTTTTAGTCTGCAAGATGTAATTGATGATACTCTGATCGAGTTGGGATTCGATGGTGAGATCTTTGAGTTCATGAATATTGCATGCAAATGCGTTCAGTCGGTGCAGGCCAACAATGCTGGAAGTGTACCAAACAATGAGGGCCACTGGGGAGAAACATGGCCTTGTGGACGATTCTAAGATGTGGAAAGAAACAGAAATTGCTATTGCCAGTGCTAACGAGGGAGATGTTGAAATAATAAGGTAGACGAAATGGGCTGGACATGCTAAATTCGATGGGAAACATTGTGTTGATTTACTTAATTTTTAATGCAATACTATCATCATTATTAGGACCACAACTTATAATAAGTTGCTGGAGTTGGTGACATGTATAGAATTTTATATTTTGTATGCACATTTTTTTTTTTTTTTTGTTGAAGAAAGAACATTTTTTTTTTTTTTTAAAGAAAGATAATTTTGTTGAGCGAAGTGATGGAAAATAATACATGTGTATTAGAATTTTTGCAAATATCACTTTCTATTTATTGTATATAATATTTGAATATATATATATATATATATGAGAATATAGATTGTTAAAATATTGTATGTTTTTTTTTAAATTTTTTTGCAATGGTAACAAGATGGTCGCTAATACATTGTAGGTATTTTTAAAATTTTTTTGCGACGGCAAAACATTAGTCGCCATAAGTAGATTAGGCGGTTGCAAATAGCTTGCGACTGTTATTTTGCGGTCGCAAAAAGTATTTGCCACCCCCACATTTGCGACCCTCATTTGCCGTCGCATGGGCCGTCGCAAAAGGTCTTTTGCGACTGTTTTTTTATTATTTGTGACGGCTTGTAGCGGTCGCAAAAAGTAATTTTTTTAGTAGTGTAGAACCAGCACAACCTGACGATCATAGGCATGATGATGAGCTTGGGCAACAACACAACCCTCAACTACTGACCCATTCTGTTACGAGGCTAAGGGGAACTGGGATTAGTTTGAGAAAAAGGGATTCGCTGAAAATCACTGATATCGGTTTCGACAAAGGAAAGGGAAAGCTCTTAATCCCACCTCTTCGTATCCATGGCTCTACCAAGTCGATCTTCCTTAATCTCATGGCTTTCGAGCAATGCTATCATCGAGAAAGGGATAGATATATCACCTCGTACATCAGTTTCATGGACAGACTAATAGACTCTGTCCGAGATGTGCAGTGCTTGCAAAAGAAAGGGATTATAGTTCACGACTTGGGAAGCGAAGAAGATGTTGCCACTCTCTTCAACAATCTTCGCAAAGAAATTGTCGTTCCTACAAATACCAACAGTTACTATCTCGCCCATGTATCCTGTGATCTCAATAGATATTACACAAAATGGCGTAATTGGTGGGGGATATTGAAGCATGAGTATGTCAAAGATCCTTGGAAAATTCTTTCTATTGTCGCTGCCATTTTAATAACAACAATGATTTAAACCACTAAAAAATGCATCACTAATAACACTAATGCATTAGGAATGGCAAAAAAAAAGGAAAAAAAAAAAAACTAATGCCCAAAACGACGTCGTTTTGGGCATTAGGGGCATTTGGTGCAAAAAGTTTCGAGGCACAAATCATTTTTCAAAAAAATTATTGAAAATAAAAAGCTCAATTTTATGACAACTCCGCTACGTAGCTCGAAAGTTTCTGGCTCGAGTGGCCCGAATTTGATTTCCTATCTGTTGTGTGCGTCTGCTCCAATAATGCTTGGTCAGTCATGCTACGTAGCTCGAAAGCTGCGTAGCTCGAATCCCCCTAATCGAAAACGTTGCCGTTTTTCTATTTTTTTTTTTTTTCAGAAACAGAAATCAGGTGAAAGAAGGAGAGGAGAGGAGAGGAGGGGGAGGAAGGAGGAGGAAGAGGAGGACTGAGGAGGAAGGAGGAGGAGGAGGCTGCTGCGACGATCGGAGCTGGGCGACGGGCTGGGAGATCGGCGGCGACGGGCTGGGCGACGAGCTGGGCGACCTTGGCAACGGGCTGGGCGATTGGCGGCGACGAGCTGAGCAACGATCTCTTCCCATCTTCTTCTCTCTTTCTCTTTCTCTCCCTCTCCCTCTTCTGCGTTGCAGGTCAAAAATGGAAGAAGGAAAAAAAAAATGGCCAAAACAACGTCGTTTTGGCCATTAGGGGGATTCGGGAGGAAGAATTTCGGGGGACAAATCATTTTCCTAAAAAGATACTACTCATTGCACCCATTAAAATATTGTTGCGTAGTTCGTTATTTTATATGAATGAGTGGGGGAATCAACTTGTCTCTTTCATCTTTGGCAGTGGCTTTGGTCCAGTCCAAGATCAGATTGGACTGTGTTGTTGGGTTCGTGAAAGCCCACCACGGTTTCGTTTTGATAATTCGAACCGTTCAATGTGTAGAACTTATCGAGTACTATATGCCTGTAAAAAATCACGTTGATCGGATATCGAT